AATAACAGAGTGAGAGTTTTGCAGGAGAGAAAAGGTCACCCAGGATCTCTCACCATGGCAAATGCTGTGCTACAGACAGGGAGCAGCACCAGCTCCCTGCGTAAAGAAATATACGGAAATACCACTTATTGTCTCCACATGTTTATACAACAGACACTCCAACAGCAGCCTTTCCTTTTAAGACTGTTTTCAAAAATAAAAAAGTACAAAAAGCTGTGGTGAGGGTTTCCTTCCCAGTGCAGCGAATTTGAGGTGCAGAATAAACATGGAATTATTGACTCAGTCACAAAAATGTTACCAGAGAGATTTCAGAGACATACTTCTGGCTTAGCTCTACTCCCACTGACGTTGGTTCAGACTTCTACCACTGATTTCAGGCAGTGCTGGCCTACGTAGCACTTCCAGCTCAGCTATTATTACCTTTTAGTTTAAAATATGTAATGTTCCTCTGTAACAGACGGAAAAATATTTCAGGAACTTTTTAAATCTGTTCCTCCAAGATACATTTTGACTTTTTTTTAATCACACTGAGACACGGTTCCTGGATGCAAGAACATGTGACCTGTTCTAAATAAAGGATATTTTCCACTTCTTGCACAACTGGAACAGATATAAGCAGTAGCTTGAACAAACTGCATTGCAGAACCCAACCAGAATATAAAACACTTGAACAAGATCCATAAATAGCAGTAATATGAAAAGACTACCTCCAATAAGGCACAAACTCAATGTTAAGCCTAATGTAATCAAGTTCAAATTCAATCACGCTGCAAAGTTCATTTACAAAATTAAATTTGATCATCTGCAGGCTAAGGCACTAGGGCACTTCAGAAGAGTCCTCTTTGGCTCCAGAGTAAGCACGCATTTCAAAAACCTGTCTCTATTGACAAAATTAATATTTCCTCAACAATCATAGTGTATTAAAAGGGAAGCTTTAACTACATCAAAACTTTAGTGTTGAGCAGATAGGAGGAAAAAAAACCAAAAAGGAAAGCTTTACAGAGGATCCTAACTGGAAAGAGATGAGGCACCAGCTGATATGAGTAAAATATTGAAGGTTTGCACAAAGGAAAAGGTTTTTGGACAGCAGGAATGAAGAGAATTTTATAAAGACATCACTGCTTTAATAATGACAAACTCTACATCCCAATGTTATTGCTCATAAAACAAAAATAAGCCTCCTAAGAAACTATCATGCAAATTAAATGTATTTCCTAATATTTTCTTCCACTAAAAATACTTCAGTAACTGCATCATTCAGGTGCTTTTTAACCAGTCTGAAAATATAGGCAACAGAAAAGGGCACAAATAGCAGTAATTTATCTGCAGGCTTTATTAAGAGCATGGCAGTAAATTACAACAGCTGACAATAATTTGCTTGCCATGTCACACAGACCATCCAAATGGAAACACATTGCAGACAACAAAAAAATATGGAGAAAATCAACTTAATATAGAAAATTTTGCTGCATTTGCCACAGCTGGGTTGGTTCAGAGTGCCCTGTGCAATGGCAGGCTGTACAGCCTTTACCTCCAATACCAGTTTGACATCCAAAACATTGCCAAGTGATTTAAAGTGTCCACATTGGAGACGTAACTCAATCCTCCAGTGCCCTGCTGACTGCGTGCAGACACGTCAGGACCTGTGTTTACTTTTGGTAATAAAACTCCATCGATTTCACTGTACACTTCTTGTACCAGGAAACAAATCTTATTTGCTTGCTCATTACATAAACACATGCATATTTAAGTGTATGTACTTGTAGATTAAGACTATTATACTTTGTGAATATGGTAGGAGAAGAATAAAATATGAATATGAGGGGGAAAAAAATAGATCTCATTGTCTTGCTGGGTAGCCTGAAAGCCCATTTTCCTCCCACAGAGAAAAATTACTCTGGAGAAACCAAATCAACTGAAACATCATCTCAGTTTTCAAAGACATTTGACCATGGCAAATTCCAGAGATCCCATGAATGTAGGTATGACTTTGCCCAAGGATCCAACTTCTCATGAGTTGGGAGGGTTTGGGAAGTATGTGTTTGACTGATCTATCTCAGCCCCATGTATCCTCTCCACCCCCTGTGATTAAAGCTTTTGCTGGGCTTACATTTTAACTTGGCCTCTAGCATTCAATTGTGGCTTGGCCTAAGCTAGTACAGTATTTACTGCAAAAAGCTTTTATTATTGGACCCCTTGCGGCTTTGGATTGCAGACTTGAATTATGAAACAGGGATGGAGTAACTGTGAGGGCACACTGGAGAGGAGAAATCTTTAACTGGATGTCACATATTGGAAAACAAGAAATCTGGGAGGAAACAAATAGGAGAGTTTCATGGAGAGAAAGACAGCAGTATCAGCAGGGCTGAGTTAAACTGGTCAACACAACTGCTTCTTCTTGGTTCAGGGCACTGACATTCTTACCTATTTCTGAGCAGGATGAAATTTTCTCTGTACTCCCAGTTTCAGCTGCTATGAGTAAGCCAAGGATGCTTCTCAACTCTTATGGTTAAAAAGATCAGAGAAAGCCCTGAATGTTGCTAGGAAATCAGCAGTTCTCACCAGGGAAAAGAGCAGATTGCTGTTTAGACTCAGCTCCTCACATCAGCTCTGGTTTGCCTGCTCCCCAGGCACCCTTCCAGAGCCAGGCTGTGGAGAGGGTAAGAAAGCAATTCCCATGGCCACAGTCCCACAACTACACCACGCTGACCTGCTGCTACTCCACTCACTGCTATGCAATTACTCCTGATTTACATCCACAGGAGAAAGCAGCAGGGTGATGCTGATAGCCTCGATAATCATCAGTCAGACTGGTTCCAGGCCTGAGCAAAGCTGAAGGACTACAGAAGTCCTCTGAGATACGATCATGAAACAAACAGGTTTGGGAGCAACTTCTGCCTCCTGTTATCATCAAGTTTTATCAGCCTGGCTCCAGGGACAGGTTTATATGGACCTGGCAGGGCCCCTGACTCCTTTGCATCTTCATCTCCCACAACAGCAGGAAGACAGCTGAGACTCTCCCTCGAGGTACGAGCTGTACGTGAGCTGGGCAGGCTCCACACTGAGGTTAACGTGTCAGCTCACTATCTGCCAGAAAAACCATGGATTGCTATTCCACCCTCGGGGCTGCCTCTCCTCACACACATGGCTACATGTGGAGGGACACGAGGCAGACTGGGACGAGTTGGTCACTGCTCCAAAAACCTGTCCTGGAAACATCAGGGCAGATGTTGGTCTGAGGCACCTCCAGGATGTCAGGATGACAGACCCCTTTAAACCCAAACAGTGAGCAGTGCTGTCTCTGCAGGAATATCAGGTAAGGATGAACTGGGGAAATTCACTGCAGGGAAGTTTGAAGTGACAACATTTAGAAGACAGTAAAATACTCCAGTGCTTCATTAGAGAGTTTATTCACTCCTCCCTGAGAGAGGTGAACAACGCAAGGCTGCATTTGGGTCCCAAAGCACCAAGTCACAGGAATCAAAAGCAGTTGCAGCATCTATGCAATGGCAAATGCAGACCTGCCACCTAAGCTCCAGTGCAGACCTGCTATCCATGCTCACACCAGGCAAGCACAAACTGCTGACTACAGAGAGGACAGCCACAAAGGGACAACTCCTGCACACCAGTCAGGACACACAGCTGGTACAAACAGGGCTACTGGGCCACAGCACAGCAGTCACGACTGCTGCACTCCACTGGCAGCACAAGCACTAAACCCGAAGCCCTGTGTGTCTCTCAGCTGCCTCCATCACAGCTGGAACCCATCAGTGCTGGTGAACCCCATCTGCTCTGCACATTAGCCTGGCTCTCACATAATTACCTGGGTAATGGCAATTTCCCTGCATAACCTTAGGGAGCAAAGGACTTCTGCCAAATTCGGTTTGGCTGGATGGCCTGTCAGGCTGCACATCACCACACTACCTGCACCATTTCTGAGCCAGACCAGGGGCAGGGTGTGAGGCAGGGCTGCCGTGAAGACAGGCCACAGGAGGTGGCCCCACTTCTGTCAGCAACAGAATTTTTAACACCTCTTACTACAAATCTTCAGTGCTTCTGAAACATTGTGAAAATGATCAAAAAAGTCATTTATTTACTTTGAAGTTTGTCTGACAGGCTGTACAATCCAAACTCATTCTAGCACCTTATTTTTTTTTTAACATTTACATTCCTATCTATTTTTCCACTACACAGAGACGTACGAAGAGCAGTGTTCAAAACTAAAATGTGAATAGAGAGGCAGGCTAGCAACAGACCTGATTACAAACACGATACACTCACAGCAATGACCTTATATTCAGCAGAGTGCTGCCAAGGGGAGTGTTGAGGTGAAATGGAGGGTTCCTTGAACGAAAAAACAGAGGGAGAAACGTGCCGTAGCTGGCAAGGAGGATGCTCAAGGCGCGGGAGAGCACTGACTTTCTTTTTCCAGCACTAGGACGGACAACGGGTCGCCAACAGCCCTCGAGGGAGGGAAACACACACAGACCGCCTTATTTCCCTTTACAGAGCGTATCTGCGCGATGCAGCCGCTCAAGATAAGCAAACATAGTCTATTTCAGGGAAGAACCGCTCTAGGAAGAAAGTGACCTACCTAGCAAAAGTTTTAGTCCCCAAGCAAGTAACAAACCCGCTTGTAGGCTCAAAAAAAAAAAAAAAAAAAAAAACAAACCAGGCACACACAAAAAGGAAATAAACAACCAACCAAAAGCCAAACAACCACGAACAACCTCAGACGCTACAAGACCCTTGTAGCCGGACGCTCCGCAGCTCGGAGCGGCTCTCGGCCGCGGCGCTCACCGGGGCAGGCGCGGCCGCGGCCTCGCCCCCGCTGCCGGCGGGGCTGCCCCGGGTGACAGCCGGGCCCGCACGGCCAACAATGCCCTTTACATAACGCGGGCCCGGCCCGCCCTCCGCCAACAACGCCGCTATTATGGCACGGAGCGCTCGGCGGCCGCCCCGCTGCGCAGCGCCGGCCGCGGGGATGCTCCGCGACCCACCTGCTCTTGAGGGGCTGGCTCTTCAGCTCGTAGTACGTCTTGGGCTCCTCGTGGAACTCCTCGCCCACCTCGAAGTCCGGCACGATCCCCGACTCCGCCTGCATCGTCGCCGCGGCCGCTGCGAGAGGGAGAGACGGGAGGTTACGGCTGCGGCGCCCAGCGAGCCCCGCCGCGCCGCCCGCCCCGCTCGGCTCCGCTCCGTCCATCCCGCCCCGTCCATCCCGCCCCATTGCCAGCCCATTCCCAGCCCGCTGCCGTTCCCATTCCCGGCCCGGCCGTGCGCGCCACCTGCCGCCCCCTCCCCGCGCCGCCCCGCCCGCGCCGTGACGTCACGCGGCTCTGACGGCAGAGGTGCCGCGCGTGACGTCACGCTGCCCGCAGCCCCCTCAGCGGGCCTGCGCCCTCCGCAAAGCGCTGCGGGTGTCGCTGAACCCGCAGAATCGCGGGGTGGTTTGGGCTGGAGGGGACCTCAAAGCACATCTCATCCACCCCCTGCCGCGGCAGGGACACCTCCCGCTGTCCCAGGCTGCTCCAAGCCCCGTCCCGGCTGGCCTGGGACACTGCCAGGGACGTGGCAGCCACAGCTTGTCTGTGCCAGCGCCTCACAGGGATCAGTGTCCTCCTCATTTACAACCTAAACCTGCACTCCCTCCGTTTGAATCCATTCTCCCTCGTCCTGTCACTACAGGCTCTTGTAAGAAGTCCCTCTCTGTCTGTTTTAGGTACTGGAGAGAGCAGCACAAAGGGCTCTCCATCTCCCCTTGGGAACACCAGCACAGGCTGCAGGTGTCCCGCTGCAAACAACATTCCTGCACTGCTGCAGAGCCGGGAATCAGCCCTGCCAGGGACTCAGGTTCAGTCAGAACGCAGGAGTTAAACCCAGTGATGGGTTTGAATGCCCATGGCAGAGATCAAGTGGTGACAGAGCGTGGGACATTTATTGTAACTTACTTTGACGGGTACAAAAGCAATGAGCATTTGCATGCCAGGACTTTGCACTTCTCCAGTTAAGTTCCCAGCACAAGAATTGACAGCTCTAAGTGGCTTCCTTTGAACTTTATCTGCTTTTTTTATAAAGAGTCCAAAGCTCATCGACATGGCAAAGAAAGGTTCATTAAAATGGAATATTCAAAGCCAGCTGGGTTTCAGTTATTTCCAGCAGAAATGTTTTAATGCCATCTCATCTTCCAATGCCATCTCATCTTCCAGTTTGGCTCCTGGCACGTTTGGGACACTAAGAGCAGACAATCTCAGAACATGGAAGAGCCTCTGTCACCCACCACTGTCCCCACACAGTGCCAGTCCCAGGGGTGACAAGGAGGGAGGGCTGGGTGGCAGGGTGGCAAGGAGGTGTCAGCACGGGAGGATTTGGGTAGTGTCAGGGATCAGAGATGTCCTGGGCCTGCTCAGCCCCTGTGAGTGATGGTGGTGTTGGTCCTTCCTGGGGTTCAAAGACCCTGGAGGTGGAGGGGCCCATTCAGAATTTGTTAAATGATCCTGTTTGGCCTTCATTGTTTTCCTCAGCTTGGGGGTTGGTGCTGCAGGAAGATGGATTTCAGGAAAGGGGCTCTGTCCCTGTGCTCACCAGGGGCCTTGTGATGACTCAGGGCATCTCTAATCTCCCCTTACAACACAGAGGGCAAGCAACCTTCCCCAGCTCTGTCCTGTCCCCTTGCCTGCTGTGACATTAGGATGGCAGGGACCCCCTAAGCACAGAAATTCCATACTGAATTTCGTCCGTGGCGTTTTCCCAGAGCTTTGACCTCACTTAATGAAGTCATAGCACAACTCAGAGGCCTGGGACATTTGAGGATGCTGTTGATAACTGATGCCTAATAATCGTGGTGCCATAATATCACAGCTAAAATCACACCACTCGTGTTGTGCCAGTGGAACACCAATGACTTTAACACACCAGAAAAACCAGAAAAAGTGTCTTTTCCACACATCCTTTTCCTCCATCACAACTGCCAAAGCTGCTCAGTGCTGCACCAGGCAGCTCACACCTGGCAGCCAGGACTCCTGCTCATTTCAGGCAATGTGAGGATTTGATAAAATAAACCCAAGAATTTTAGCTTGCTTCAGAAATTTAAGTCTCAGATTATTATGCAGCTGCCAAACTCCAAGCAATGACTTAATAGCAAGTGTAATTACTTTAATGAATCAGATACAACAAATTGGATAATGCCCTGAAGAATGTTCTTTTGAGCCCACATTGGCAGATGGCTGGGATGGCTCGACAGAGGAGTAGGCTTGCTAACAGTGCTTTGGGGATAAAAAAAAAAGACAACCAACAAACAATTAAAAACAACTTAGAATAAACCCACTGCTAAGCTACATTTACAGCCTGAGCCTCTGTGGGTTAGGGGGTGTTGCTGAGGAGCTGTTTTCACAAGTGAGGAATCACTCTGTGATTTGATGAAGGCAGTAAACAGCAGGACTCATCTCTTTGCAATGATTTTGCTTCTATTTTTCCAGGTGTAAAAATGAGATATTCTCTTCTGCTGTTCAAAATGTACAGCTTATGCTTTAATTATAGCACTAGTTCTAAAGAGCAAAGATCTCTTATGCAAATACATATCTCAGGCAATGCTGCTTCACTTGAGTTACCACAGCTTCAGCAGGGGCAGTGTGTGCAGCTCCCAGGGAGAAAGGAATCTGGTTTACTTCTCATCGGACCATGAATCTTTTGTTTCTGTCTTGCAACCTCTGTGCAATGTAAAGTTTTATCTGGTGTTCAGATCAAGGCAATTTCTCATTGCACCTGGGCTAGCTGGGACCTTGACACTGCTTTGCTGAGTCATACAAAGTGTTCTATTCATAATAGATGTCATCTATGTTTATAATATCATTTTAGAGCTCATCTTTCAGGGTGAAAGAACAATACTTGCACTGTGCCTAAGCAGGATACTAATTCATAAGCATGCCCCAAAACAAAAACGGTGCTTTAAAATGAACCTTATTATGCCAATATTGCAATTAAATTGCTATAAAGAAAATTAAATTAACCCCAAAATACCTATCAGGTAAAATTTAAGATGAAGGGACTATTGTGTTGCTGCAAGGTTCAGATTTCTGTAGTTACTCTCTATAGCTGGAATTGTGTACAGCTCTGTTGATTGTGTTCCAGTTATGAATGTCAGACTGCTTTAGGGAGGTGAGCAAGAACAATTATCCAGTTTAGCAGAGTGGAAAACAAAACACGGAAGGGTCATTTGTCAAACATCAAATCAGTGGCAGAACATGAACTTCAATCTAGTGTTCACATCATGGGCATAACCCTACTAAGACTCTTACTAGGAAGTATTTCTGTACAATTGTCACTCCAAAAAGGACAATGGCTTATAAGCAAGTCTCAAACACTCTCTAGAAGGTAAAGTCAGGTTTCATAAGGGATGTATTCAGATTTAGGGCTCATAGGGAATGCTCAGCTTGGTTTTGCTATTGCTTGAAAGCAAGTCTTTTCCAGAGCAGGGAATTAACCCAGCAATAAAGGCAGTCTCAGTGTTTATGTGACACTTCTGTCTCATTTTTCACCCAAACTAACACAACCCTCTCAAAAGCCGTGAGCACTTGTGTCTGGGCTCTCCAGTGCCATGCAGACACTGGGTCAGCATTGTTCAGTTATTTTTCAGATGATGGGTCTGATTTTGCTAAAGCCATTAAAATGTGTTCAGCTTATTGGGCAAATTCTCCTTTTCAGAGTGGATTCTCATCAAGACTGAGAAAACAGCACAAAGGTTCAGGAGACCAAAGGACTTTGGTTGTGCAGCTCCTGAAAAAGGTTTATCAGCAGACACAGCTCTTCCTCATTCTGAATCAATATTTCCTATGATCCAGCAATGCTTTTCAGATACCATGGAGTACAACATTTCATGTGCAGCAAGCACATTGAGCAGAACTGCTGCTTTTCCTCCCATTACTCTTTGCAATTCCCTTATTTGTAATATCCTCACTTATAATTCTCATCATTTGTATTTTTCTTCTTCTTCTGGCCTACAAGTACCATTTAAAATGATTCTCCCATCAGTGATGTTACTCCAGTCACAGTCTGGGGATCTCTAGTTGACAGCAGGGAGCAACAACATAGATTGATATCTCTATTAGTAGGCAAAAAATTGACACACAACTCAGCAGAGTTCCCAGTTTGCAAGAATTCCCCCGCACCAACTATTTGTGCATTCATGTGAAGAGGAAAGGAAGCAGTCAATGCTGCTATTCAAAATAAAAAATAAACAGACATGTGATTTAATTTTGAAGAAAGTTCCCAGACTTTTGCATTCATACTCTGCATTGTACACTGTGAAATTCGCGAAGAGAATGCAATTTACCCCTGCAGACTAAAAGACAAGAAGTTGTTATCATTCTTTATCTCCCTACAAGGCAGAAGACTTGGTAAAAGCTTTCAGTATTGAGTATGAAAGAAAGGGAGCATTTAAGTGAGAGCTTCCAGTAGCCATGGAGAGATTCTGTAGTCTCACAGGAACATCCCTGTCCCATTTCTTTGCTCCACCAAGCACATATAATGCCAGTTAAAATCTCCCATCTCCAATCTCTCTTTTCTTGTCCCAGTTCCTTTTTCTCCAGCCACACTGGGGACCCCCAGCCTGTCACCCATCTCTTTCCTTCCCCAGCTGCCATGCCATCTCTTTGCCCAGGCAAGACACATTTTCCTTCTTTCGGGCTTCAGCTCCTTTCACCTCCCAGTGGTACCCACACACTTTTATTTAATCACAGTTTCTGCCTACCCTGAGTGCTGTTTGAGATTTTTCTCCAATAAGGTGCAGTTTTCACCCTTTCTGCTTTCAAGTTTCCTTTTCCCCACTCAGGGAAAGAAACCAAACAATCTCCTCTCAGCTCCCTACAGACAAGACCTCAGAAGTGTAACAGACAGGAAATCCTGCTTCCATTTAGGGTGGAAAATGCCTGAGAGGGATGAAACTCATGGACATTTAACTGCTGCTTTGTTGTGCATATACCAGGTAGAGTTTTGCAAAAAATTATCATTTAGCCTGACTGTCACAAGAGCAGGACATGACATATCTCTGACATAAGTGAAAACCAGCAGACAGCAATATAATTTTTCCAAGCTTTGTACGTTTTCAGGCAGGGCTTTGCTAGACAGCCAGAAACAACCAGATGTTTTGAGAAGGAATCCAAAAAATCGTTTTATGAGGGAGAACAACAGGCCAGCTACCCCACATCTCAG